TTCTCAACAGGACAATGACCCCAAAACACACCTTCAGGCTGTGTAAGGGCTATTTGACCAAGAAGCAGAGTGATGGAGGGCCGCACCAGATGGCCTGGCTTCCACAGTCACCTGACCTAAACCCAATGGATGGTTTGGGATGAGATGGACCTCAGAGTGAAGGCAAAAAGGCCAGCAAGTGCTCAGCATCTCTGGGAACTTCTTCAAGACTGTTGGAAAACCATTTCAGGTGACGACCTCATGAAGCTCATAGAGACAATGCCAAGAGTGTGCAAAGCAGTAATCAAAGCAAAGGGAGGCTATTTTGAAAAACATGTTTTGACTTATTTCACACTTTTGTGTTCACTACATAAGTTGATGCTTTCAGTGACAATCTACAATGTAAATAGTCATGAAAATAAAGAAAAAAGATTAAATGAGAAAGTGTCCAAACTTTTGACTAGTAATGTACATGTGGAGGGGAAGAAATCTAGGAAAGATGGCAAGGGACTTTTTAATCTTGGAGAGTGAGAGGATGCCTGAAAAATGGAGAAGTGTAGCTACTGATTTAGAAGAAAAATGGTAATGTGCAAAGCTGTAGTAACTACAGAGAGATAAAGCTGATGAGCCATACCATAAAGCTACAGGAAAGATGTGCTGAAGACTTGCTGAAGCTAGGTTAAGAACAGAGGTGACGATCAGTGAGCAGCAGTATGGAGAGTAAGAGCACTACAGAGGTGATGTTTGCTTTGACAGTGTTGATGGAGGAGTTTAGAGAAGGTCAGAAGGAGTTGCACTGTGTTCTTAAGGATCGAGAGAAAATATAGGATAGGTCAGACGAGAGGAACAGTGGTGCTGCATCAGGAAGTCAGGAGGGTGGTGCAGGACATGTATGAGGACAGTGAGCCAGGGGATAGGATTACCATCTTGCCCCTTCTTGTTTGCAGTGATGATGGGCAGGTTGACAGATGAGGAGCCAGAAGTCTCCAGCAACTCTGATGTTTGCACATGACATTATAATCTGTAATGAAAGCAGGGAGCAGGTGGCGGTATGCTCTGGAGAGAAATGGTAAATGGCCTGTATTTGTATAGCGCTTTTACTAGTCCCTAAGGACCCCAAAGCGCTTTACACAACCAGTCATCTACCCATTCACACGCTGGTGATGGCAAGCTACATTGTAGTCACAGCCACCCTGGGGCGCACTGACATAGGCGAGGCTGCCGGACACTGGCGCCACCGGGGCCAGAGAAGAGTAATTAAAGTCAGTAGTGAAAGTGAAAACTGTTCTAAAATAAGCTGACTGCTTAGGAACGCTGCAGAAGTACAGAGTGTGAAAAACAGCATCACTATCAATCACAAATATCCACAAAAAAATCTTAATTTTCACCATCTTGTGAAGTCACCGCTGCAGAAGTATTTGCATACAATGACATTTGACCACATCCACACCAGCTCCCTGTGAGGGAGAACTATTTATAATAATATGTTTTACTTAATGTAAATAGATTAAATTAGTTATTTTAGACCAATTATTGTTAGAAATGTCACATCTTACTTAAATATATTATGTTTTCTCTAAACAAATTCATATTTTACATTTAGATTAACTGACTTGTTTAATTCCCACATAAAAATGTTGTTAATTTAAATTGTTTTGTTATCTTAAGTAAATCACGCAAGAAAAAAAAATGAAACAACTCAGATTTTACTTTACAGTTTAAGAAACTATGTTTTTGTTTTAATTGTTTGTTTGTTTTTAAGAAGAAGAAGAAGAAGAAGAAGAGGGAAAGAGCTGGTATGGTAAAGCTTTGGACTACAGAGCCGGAAATGTATTTATTTTCTTTGGTTCTCTGTATATTAACTTAGATTAATTAAATTTTTAATTAGATTTCTTAATATTTCTTAATATATCACATTTATCCTAAAAAGGTGTCATTGCAATTTGTCCAGTGTATTTTGTTAAAAGTTAGAAAAGAAGCGCCTAAGAAATCTTTGCAAAAATCTGTGAAGTGGATTCAGTGGTTGAAAACTGTGGTAAAAATAGCTGCTTCCTAAATGAGTCTCAATGGTTCCATAAAGAGTGTTAACCATTTATTAACATTCAAGCAGCTATAGGATTTTTCACATTTATAACTCCTAAATGTAAAAATGTTCACATTTCTGATGCTTGTTTTCATTTTCACAAGATCGTTAAAATTTTATATTTTGAAAATTAGAACATTCCCCAAACCGACTCAAATGTGTAATTTCCACAACAGACACAAGTAGGCGCTACCGCAAACCATCACAGTAGTTCTCTGGCCTCCACAGCCCGGCCACACCTTAAAAATGCACACTGACCAATCTGCCGGCGCCGGAAGTTGAAAGCAACCAATCCACGTTCTCTTGCTGCAAAACAAGCCAATCGGTGGATACGTGGGGCGGGATTAGCACGGTGGCTTCTTCCTGAGTTGAATTGCTGCTTATGAGAGCCGAACATTATCATACTAAACTTTAAAATTATAACATACATTTATTACAGTATAACAGTTAAACGGGGCAGCGTCACGATGGGTTTACTAACAATTTTGAAGAAGATGAAACAGAAGGAGCGCGAGATGAGGCTGCTGATGCTGTATCCTTTCTGTGACAGGTTTGGCTAGGCTGAAAACAAAGTGGCATTCGTGCACTTGGTTTATTATAACTATACATGTATCAAATAAGAACCCGCAAGCTTCTCTGTGTGTCTGTGTCGTTAGATAAAGATGCCGGATAACGCCTTTCTCTTTATTTTCCCCTCTATGCGGATTCATCCTTCTTGCTATGCTAGCTGTTACACGTATTCCAGTAAATATACGAGACGCTGATTAATCGATTAAAACCCCTCAGGTGTGTGAGTTGTCTTTAACCTGGCGCGTGCAGAGGTCTGGACAACGCGGGGAAGACGACCATCTTGAAAAAATTCAACGGGGAGGACGTCAGCACCATCTCTCCCACACTGGGCTTCAACATCAAAACGCTGGAGCACAAAGGGTAACGCGCACACTGGCTCAAACACGCGCACACGCACGTTGCTTTGACACCCATGTTTCTTTAAAAAAAACTAATCTAGTCAAGGAAAAATGTCAAAGATGGTCGATATAATAATCTAAAATTAAAATGTGCCTATATGAATATGAAAGTAGGTTTTGTTTATTGTCTTGTGTGAAAACCATGACAAAATAATAAATGAAGCTTCAGTGTAATAAAGGAATAAAAGTCACAGGAAATGCTTTATCCCTTCAGATCTATTTGCCTCTATTTCCTTCCGCCTGTGGTGCCTTTTGATTTGGCTTTTTTTCTCTGTGTCAGCCTGTTAAATCCAGAATCAAAGTTAAAATCCTTCATCTCTTAAATAATCAGGCCCCATCTCACCATAAAACTAAATGAGACTGTATCGTCCCAATAGAGCACTTCGCTCTCAGGCTGCTTGCCAACTTGTGTTTCGTACGATATTTAAAAGTAGAAGGGAGGCAAACCTCCTGTGTTAATGTACAAAAGTATTCTTTAGACCTGTTTTTTTCTAGCTCAGTCTGTACATTTCCATTCATGCCTCCCACTCCTTGTGTTTCCAGGTTTAAACTGAATATTTGGGACGTAGGCGGTCAGAAGTCACTGCGCTCCTACTGGAGGAACTACTTTGAGAGCACAGATGGGCTGGTGTGGGTGGTGGACAGCGCAGACAGACTCAGACTGGAAGACTGCAGACAGGAGCTCAGCGCACTCCTCCTGGAGGAGGTATATGAGAATGACACACAGTGGAGTGACAGAATCCTTTATTTTGGTCGTTTTGCTTTTTGAAGGATGGGTTTGCGGTAACTGTTAGACCAGAAGGGTAGGTGTGTAAAAATGTGACACTCACTAGTCCTGAATACCAGCCTTAACCCTGGTATTCCGCCTGGCATTTAAAAGGAATATTTCGCCCAAATGAATCGGAAGTATCCATTTATCTTTAATAGAAAGCAAATCTTTAATCGTTTTTATCAATCTTATTTTTCTGAGTTGTCTGGACTTTCTATATCTTTTAAGACTCACACTGGCCTCCATGGACAAACACTCCTAAAAGCCAGAGTCAAAATATGTAAATTTGATTTCAGTATGAACACGTTACGCTATTTTTAAATAAGCTGCGCTCCGTTCTTTGCAGAGGTTAGCTGGTGCAACGCTGCTGGTTTTTGCCAACAAACAGGATTTACCAGGATCTCTGTCCAAAGAGGCAATACGAGAGGTGAGCTCTGCGCCCACTTGACACTGCATTTCAGCAATGATATAGTTGCATATATCACGGTGGATGCTGACACTTTGTTCTTCTGCAGGCGCTGGCCCTGGATAACATCAAAAGTCATCACTGGTGTATCATTGGTTGCAGTGCAGTAACAGGAGAGAACTTGTTAGCTGGCGTGGACTGGTTATTAGAGGACATCGCTGCGAGGATCTTCACTGCTGACTGAATGTTTAACTGCAGACCAGCTGGTCTTTGTTCATGACCTGCCGCCTTAAGTGACTGAATGCTTTTATACTTGTCCCATCAACTAAGGATTTACCCAGCCGTCCTGGGTTTGCACTGATTTAAAGGAGACTTACCATAGTTTACTTGTATGAACCCAGTAATAAAAGTTCATCCATTCTTGTGGCAAAATACTGCAGTTGCCTTCTTACAACATCCACACTTGATTCTTGCAGACTTGTTATGCTCCTCTTTATGTACTCTAAAGTTCTCTTTGACATGCAATTCTTTGCAAATTCTGGTTGTATCACAAGCTCCCAGAGAGACAAATTTGATACTTTCCACCATTCTCACACAGGCCAGTTCTGCATAATTTGTCATCTATCAGCCTCAAGCTTATTCTTTGACAGCATTTAGGTTTGATTTAATTTGTGCTACAACACAAAGCATCCTGTGTTATCCCTTTAACCTGACATTCTAAAAACTTGCACTATTAAAATGTTCTGGTTTATAGTCTCCTCACAGTCACACTTGAAATAAAACGGCTCAGTCTGCTAAAGTTTAAACACTTTATTGTTTTGTTACTGCAAATTTTAAGTGACAGAACCCCACAAATGTAAACATTATCACAGGTGTCCACACAATTCCAGTGTAGTTCAAACTGCAGTCATCTTGGTGGCAGCCCACAGGAGATCATCACGATGTGGCACGTAGCGGCCAATCTGCAAAGTTTAAAAACAAAAACTTAGAAACATGGAGGGCAGGAACACTCATGTTATGATCATGTCAGTTTTAAATCAGAGTATACCAATCAGTCATGAATCTTCAGACTGGGGCGGTAAAACAACCTCATCACTTCTGCTTAACACTAAACCGTTGCCTAATTAAGTAACTTTTCCAGTTTAAACTGGTTACTCACCATCATGACTGTGCGCAATGTCAGTCTCATGACATGAGGTGCTGGACAGACCACATGACTCCATTGCCTCAAACAAGAAACCTGCAATAGATGAAATGTGTTAGTAGAGTCTGCTTGTGGAGTGACTGAGAACACATTTTAGCTGCTGAGATCAGAGTATACCAATCAGTCACGAATCTTCAGACTGGGGCGGTAAAACAACCTCATCACTTCTGTTTAATGTTTAACTGGACATTAAGCTGCTGCATGCTGTTAAAACAGAACTAGTGTTTGTACTCACCAGCATGAACTGACTGAACCGACGATCTGGTGTTTAAAGCTGTTTAAAGACAGACAAGTATTAAGTATCCTGCTGAAGCTCTTTTGGGGAAATTGTCAGGCTGACATTAACACTGTAGTGAAGCAAATCTATAAAGCAGCATTCAAAGCCACTCTGTTAGAAAGTGTCAAAGAAGTTTAAATATGAAATTCCTGGGATGTGATCAGAAAACACCTTTTCAGCCATGCCTCAGTCAGCACTCTTCCTCCATCAGAACACCAGCAGGTCACCTTACACCTGGAGGGGTAACAGGGTCAGGGTTCTCAGCGCCATGCTAGGCCAACAGGAGGGGAGCCCAACCGAGTTGGAGGGGGTAGAGTCAACCCCCTCTTTGACTGATCGAGGTTCATCATTTGCACAAACCCAGCAGTACTAAAGTCAAGATCCAGGGCTTTCACAGTCTTATCAGACAGGAAGCATGACTGCACAGTTTTCGACCTTAATACCAGAATCATTCATCCTTTATTTTCACTATGATCACCTTTCTGTTGATGTTAACATGCACAGCACCTACCTAGGGCTTGCGTCCAGCTCACAGCTTTGACAGGCAGCTCTGTCCTGAAGGACGACACAAAGTTACATTAGCAACGTCTGCTCACAATGACGTTAGGCTACAGGTTTGTTCCCGTGCAGATAAAACATCAGATGATTCACAATTCCAGTATGTTTCCATTCAGACTGTTGGTAACCCCAACAGGTCATCCCCTTATTGCCAAGGCAACACCAGTGGGTTCACCTTTTCAGGTCTGGCATTGACACGAGGCGTAAGACGTGTGCAAGTATCATCATACAGGAAACTTGAGTGACACCCATCAGTCTAAATAAAAGTTTTTAGAGTCCATCAAGCTCTAAGCCTCCTACATAAAGATGTCTAGATGAGCACTAAAACGAAGCTACAGAGTTCACCCACCTGGACAAACAGCTGGGATGGTGATGGCAGCATCTGGAGTCCAAACTTCAGCTACCTGTAAGATGATTGCATCAAGTCAAGGTACAGAAAGGAGGTTCAAGTCTCACAGTGTTTCCTGTGGACCGTCACTGACTTCAGATTTAAATTTTATCAACAGCAGTTCAGACGAACGAGATTCCAAAATTTCTCTCATCATTTTCAGCAGGTCTGAATATTTAAAACTGCACAGATTTTTTTTATTTTTTTATTTTTAAAACATACCTTCAAAGAGGAAAGCCTCCATGGAGCTGCTGAAGCAGTCATCAAGTCACCTGACAACAGAAATCATTTACATCACTCAAGCGGCCATGCAGATTGTATTATGACAAATAAAGTACACAGATGATAGAAATCCTTCAAAGTGAAAAGCTGCAGTTGCTCAGATGTTTGTGTCGTTTCACATTGGGTCAAAGTGAGCTAAGTATCATCATCACTGAAACTGCGCTGCAGATGAGACGTCTCGTCTCTGCACGACAAGCTCAACAGAAAGAATATTCAAGTCTTAAATCCTTACCTTGAAACTTTCTCGACTGCCTTCCTCCCCAAGCATTTGGTGGAAGTCCCTAAAGGAGAAGTTGGACCGTTAATAAAAAATAAATAAATAAAAAAAAAAGCAGGGACTACTTCTTGTGCCATTAAGGACTTGCATGTTTGATCAGGGCTTTGGTGACAAACTGCCATGTGACACATGTCGTCCAGGTGTTTGATGGGTGCTAACCCATTTCATCCTTTCAAACAGTCAGAAGTGCCTCACATTATGGAACCAATAAATTAATTTAGCATTTCAGATTCAATTTCTAGAATTTCACATTAACCTGAAAAAATTAAAGCTTAATACTTACGTGCTGATTTGGCATCACTTCCTTCTGAAACAACTCCAACTTTAGCCTAGCAAAGAAATACGACTGTTAATCATTTGCAATAACTAACATTTACATGTTTGTTAGCCTAAATTAAAGGGTAATCAGATTAAAGGTTGACATCACATTAATCAGGCATATGCTTGTCATTAATGGTAATCATCATGTTTAAAACCCTACTGTGGAATTTTAACAACGGCAGAAAATCTTAACTGACCTCTGAATTTAAGCCACTCTGAACACTGCGGGGTTCACATCAGAGGACCTACACAGAAAAAAATAAATATCTTGGTTAATGAGATCTGTATTTGAACCCTCAAGAAATTAGAACTAGAGATTTGTCAATTCAATCACTGCCCTTAACTTTAAACCACAGTCATTGTCTTCTAAAAGTGTTTTAAGAGCCATTACAGCACAATTAGGTTGGAGCCTTCATGCTGCTCAGAATCTGGTAAAGAAGCTTCTTCAAAACGCTGATTCAGTAAGAGAGAGTTCCAAGATTCATCACCGCAGCACAACATGCTCATTTATAGCCACACAGATGTTTAACTGCAGAGCCACTGAGAGAGATCATTTAAATTCCTAATCCAGATTAAAATCTGAAGCATTTTCTAATTACCTGATGTAGGAAGTGTCCTCACAGGCCATGCCTGAAACCAGACGAGGACAAAAAAGATGGCGCCGTTAGAGAGTTGTAAAAGAAAAAGCACGAGACGATCAGTGGTGATTCCTTCATGCTACTCAGTGTTTGAAATGCTGTCTTCAACGTTTTTATTCAGTGAGAGAGTTCAAACAGGTCATCACAGTAGCATGACCTTTCACGTTACGCCATTTAATACGGTTACATGACCCTACTCTCCATCTTATAATGCAATAAAGCGAATCTGTAAACAGCCATTACCTGTGCAGGAAGCACGTTTCCAGCAGCTCCACATCTGGAAATAAAAGAAAGAATGCGTTAGCATGCTGCAGCTAGCAACAAGCTAGCCATGCCGTTTACCACGTGACCGCTAAAATTTAACGTGCTACTGTTCGCGTGAAACAGTATGAAAACTGAGTTTAACAGCGTCTCAAATCAGAATAAAAAGAGTGCAATCACTGCCATTCAGGACAGGTCTGTGAAAAGTTTCATCATTTAGAGACGCTGTTAGTTGCCGTGCGGTCACTTCTGAAGCCATTAAAATGAAAGCCTGCTTTACGTTTAAGTCTCAATACTGGATACATCAGGTAGAGAACATATTTTTATTAGTAGTGACAGAAGTTTCAGTCGAAATGTTTAAATTCTGCTGGTGGATGGTTGAAGATTACGCTAAAATCTGGTCGGTGCTCAATGAAGAGAAACTTCTAGCAAAAACACCACGCAGCGTTTAGAATGGCTGAAAATGAGACGTGAACTAACGTGAAACTGCAGCATCACTACAGCAGTTTCTTTCTTTAAAAACATCCAATTAGTGGATAAACTGCAACTAAACTAAAGCGGCTAAGTGTTGCACAAATCTTACCTCTGCCAGAACATCGAAGGAAGCGGAAGAAGAGCGCGGTGCATCTCGTTTTTATGTCCTGCCTGTTGGACTCCGCCCACCGGCAAACGTCACCGAGTGGCTAACGCTTATCTTGACTCTCATCTGTATTAGACTCTAACTCATTCATAAGACTGTTTGCACAAAGATTCAACTTAGTCGATTCTTGGAGGGATTCTCATTCGTCTCAGATAGCTTATACATGGTGCAATAAGACTCA